TTAGACAGCAAAAAGGGAGCCTAAACTACAGAGGATCTGTTCTGTGAACACGATTCCCTCAGAAATCAGACGCCCTCGTCAACTATCACGCCGATAGAAATCTCGAGCTCATAATCTAATTGTTTAATAGATAGTGAGTAGCGTAACCAATCAGAGAACAGCATTCGCGATAGAACGCTAGTAGATTTACACTAAACAAGTAATGATATGATCCCTCCTAAAATTAAGGATTACACTAGCCTAAACGTTCGAGCAGTTATCAGAGAATTTTGAGACAGGCCCGTTTGGTTGTGTAGTCTTTATGTATAACTTACATGGGCCTAATGCAGATGAAATATAAGCACGGGCTTTTGTCAACAAACTGTCAGATCAATTTACATTGCTGTATATGCAAGTCAGAATACCCGGCTAATCGGCCTTGTCACGGAAATATTTTTTAACATCCAAAATACCGGACAAAGAACAAAATAAATTACCTCCGAATTGTAGTAATTTAAGTAATTGTTCCTGAAAAGCCCCATTGGGGAGGTAACAATAAAGTATGTATGTATGTATGTAATTCAGATACTGGTTTCACTTCGATTCGGTACGTGACGTTTTACATGTGCTATAAAGCGTCGAAAAGTTTGTGCTCCATTGGGCTGCTTAATTTCTTTGTAACGAAAGTCTTCTATCTTTGGGAGACGGCAGAAATAAGGTAACATTCTTCATCGGCAAAAATTTGACTTCGAACATGGATAAAGCGGGTAGTTGTTAGTGACTGCTCGAGGTTTTGAAACCCACCAAGTTTGTCACAACAACAATCAAAACACTCTGCCACCTCTCCCGCCCAACAGATTTTTTTACCACTCAGATTCTGGGTGGTCACGTGACCAACCGCAACCAGGGTCTTTCTTCCGACGATCTAGGGAGGCAGGGGAGAGAGAGCCTGGGAACGAGTTTGCATACAGCAATCATGTCAAGGACGCTCAAGGTCAAGGGTAATCATGTCACGTATGAAAGCGGTGCATGATTTCTAAGGGTAATCTTGTCAAGTTCGTAAACTTTGTGTAGCTTGTCGTCAGTTGTCGCATTCCCGATGTGGCGAATTGGAGGTGCCGTACATCGGAGTACGCAACGGAAGTGTTCAATCACTTAGGGTCCAATGTTTATCTATGTACACGACATCAGTGAAGAAACAAAAACATGACTTCCATTTTTTTTTCGCC